CAGGCCAGAACGCTGAGTCCCTGAGGCCCTGAGGCCAGAGGCCTAGGGGTCCTTCGCTGTGAAACTGGGCAAAACGCGGTATTTTTGCTGGCAAACTATGGCAACCCGGTAAAGCTGCAACGAAACCTCTATTTTTGCGAAGGAAACTTCGAACGGACGACATTTTTGCTGCCAAACTTCGAAAAAGCAATATTTTTGAAATTAACCCATTGGAGTATCCTCCTACCCGTTTCGCGTTTTTATTTTTTTTTTCAAAAAATGATGCTCAGGCGGGCGTGCCCTCGGCAGAAGCCTTGGGCGCCACGTGCGGCACGGATTTCTGCAATTCACATTSAGTATCGCATTTCGCTGCGCACTTAAGTCGCATAGACAACCACAGAACATTTCGCGTTTTTCATGAGCCATGCAGCAGGCCCGCTCGTTTTTCCGAGGGAGCGGGCTCGATCGAGCTTATCCTGCCGCTGGTGGGCGTGCCCCGCAGATCTCGTCCCTTACTTGGAGGGTAGGACAAATGAAAGCCAGAAGCTATATATATATATATATATATATACCCGCTTTGATACTCGGCGGGTGAGGGTATCATTTGTTTGTTTGATTATTGATTACTCTCCGCCTCTGGGTACTCTTTGAGCGCGAAGCTCATCCGCCGGTGGCCCCGCCATTTTGTTTTGGTTTGCGGTAAGGGGCAAGTTTGCCCGCCAATTACAATTATTACCCGCCAATAAGTTTTGTTTGTTCGCGGGGTCAACACGGCCGTGCGGCAATTTGGCAATTTTTCCGTTGCGCGAGGTGACAGCGTAACCAACTGTTAACCACGTTTCGGTTTTCGGTAACCGCAGTTTGAAGCTTGTGGTGGTGATCGCAGGGGGAGTGAAAGCGCGGGAGATAGAAGATCCTTCCTCAAGGTTGTGGCGCTGAAAACACGGGGGTGAGGGGGGGGGGGGGGGGTTTGGGGGGGGGGAGGAGGGAAGGAGGGGGGGGGGGGAGGTGGAAAGGGGGGGTTAGGATTTTGTGTTTGTGTGTGGAGGAGGAGGAGGACGGCGACGGCGGCGTTTCTTGTCGTCTCGTGTGTGCTCGTGCGCGCGCTTCTTGTTGTCGCCTTGAGCGCGGGGGCGGGGGGATAGAGGTTTAGCCATGGCTGCGGCGGCGGTAACGGGTGTGGCGGCGGCCGCCGCATCTGCTGCTATAGGCACCAGGTTCCCCGCGCTCTCTTCGTCGGGAGATGGCGGCGATCTTGCGGGAAAGGGCGTTGGAATGAGCATGATGAGTCCATCGACGGCGCGCAGTCAACTTTGCCTTGACTGCGCGCCGAGCGCGGATGATCTGCACCTCACGAAACGATGGGTCGAAAAGTCCGCCATCTCGACGCTGGCGGCTGCGCACCCGCCTGCGGCAAGGCGGCGAACGTGGCGGCGGGCGTCGTTCAGCGCACCGTCGGGCGTCAGTTCCTCCTCCTCCTCCCCTGCCTCTTCTCGGTCCTCTTCTTCTTCCATACCTTCTTCTTCTTCCATAACTTCTTCTTCCCCGCGCAGATTCAAAAACGTGGCGCGCGCGGCGGAGCAATCCCCGTCGGCGGGGTTGTCTGTTTCCCCGCCTAGCTTGATTGAACCCGATGGCGGGGAACTAGTCGACTTGATTGTCCCCGCGAGCGAAAGAGCGGGAAAGCTTCTGGAAGCGCAATCTCTGCCGCAGATCAAGCTGTCTAAGATCGATCTGGAATGGGTCCACGTGTTGTCGGAAGGATGGGCGAGTCCTCTCCGCGGGTTCATGCGCGAGGAGGAGTATCTGAGCGCCCTGCATTTCAACTGTCTCCGCCTTCCCGACGGCTCTGTAGCTAGCATGTCTGTCCCCATTGTCCTGGCCATCGATGACCGCGCGAAGGACGCCATAGCCGATTCGTCCGCCGTCTCTCTCGTGCATCCTTCTTCAGACGAACCCGTCGCCATCTTGCGCAATCCGCAGGTGTACAAGCACAACAAGGAAGAGAGGATTGCGCGGACGTGGGGATGCACTGCGCCCGGCCTGCCGTACGTTGAGGACGCGATAACTAGCGCGGGAAATTGGTTGATTGGCGGGGAGTTGGAGGTGTTAGATAGGATAACGTACGGAGACGGGCTAGACGAGTACCGGCTGTCGCCGGCGGAGCTGCGCGCGGAGTTCGCGCGCAAAGGCGCGGACGCCGTCTTCGCCTTCCAGCTGCGCAACCCCGTGCACAACGGCCACGCGCTCTTGATGACTGACACGCGCCGCCGCCTCCTCGAAGAAGGATACAAGAACCCTGTGCTGCTTCTCCATCCTCTAGGGGGCTACACCAAGTCGGACGACGTCCCGCTCCCGACGCGCATGGCGCAACATGCGAAGGTACTGGAAGAAGGCGTGCTGGATGCAGAGAGTACGGTGCTGGCCATCTTCCCATCACCGATGCTCTACGCGGGGCCGACAGAGGTTCAATGGCATGCCAAGGGGAGAATCAACGCCGGCGCAGATCACTATATCGTGGGTAGAGACCCCGCGGGGATGGGTCATCCGACTGCTGATCGGGATCTGTACGATCCCGACCATGGCAAGAGGGTTCTGGCGATGGCCCCTGGATTGGAGAAGCTGCGCATACTGCCGTTCCGAGTCGCCGCGTACGACAAGTCCAAGGGCGCGATGAACTTTTTCGACCCATCGAGAGCGTCGGATTTCGTGTTCATATCTGGCACGAAGATGAGGGCGTTTGCTAGGACTGGGGAGAGTCCTCCAGATGGGTTCATGTGCCCAGGTGGATGGCAGGTGTTGGTAAAGTACTATCGCGAGCTGGCGTCGCAGGAGGAGCAGCCGAACAACAGAGAGGTGGCGGCGGCCGTTCGCCCGTGAGCGCGCTCTGCGCCGGCGCGCGGCGGCGGACAGGAAGAAAGGAGTGAGCGGGGTTGCTGCCGTGCCGCCGCCGGTGCGAGACACAGATGAGGTCATTCCATCGAGGTGAATTATGTGTGCTTGTTTGCTTGTAATTAAACATAGCGTAACATGTACTATATTGTCACGCACCTATGTACAGTGTATATCGCACGGCTCTGTGTGTGTGTGTGTGTGTTCGTTTGTTTGTTTGTTAGTGTGTTCGCGCGCGCGTGTGTGTGTGTGTGTGTATGTGTGTTTGAGAGAGAGAGAGAGAGAGAGAGAGAGAGAGAGAGAGAGAGAGAGAGAGAGAGAGAGAGAGAGAGATGCCATGGCTGTTCTCGGTGTTCCTTAACCGTCTTGTCTTTGAGAGAGAGAGAGATGCCATGGCTGTTCTCGGTGTTCCTTAACCGTCTTGTCTTTGAGAGCCACAGAGAGAGAGAGAGAGAGAGAGAGAGAGAGAGAGAGAGAGAGAGAGAGAGAGAGAGAGAGAGAGAGAGAGATGCCATGGCTGTTCTCGGTGTTCTTTAACCATCTTGTTTAGACTCCTGCTGCGCCTCTGCCTCTGTGTTGTAGATGGTTCTATAGAGTACTTCGCATGCATGCGCGAGGGATAGTACTAATTGGCGAGCACTGCCATCTCACGAAAGCTGTTGGCAGTACTGATTCCAGATTTTTGGGTTGCGTTTTTCATATATTACTAAATTCTGGAATTTGGGTGAACAAGCCTAATCTTGTGGAAAGCCGTCGACGTTTGTAGATAGTAGAACTAATAAACTCCGTGTTTTGCCTTTCCTGCAGTCCATTGTAATTTAATTTTGCTGCCTGAAAAATAAAAAATATATTTTTTTTGCTGCTTGTATCCATGATCGCCTCCCTTCCGGGACGGAGGTCCCACTAGCAAAAATCATTCTGATCAGTTTAATATCTGATCCGTGGTCCATCGGACCACACGATATTAAATTAATTTTTGAAGGCTATGGAGGGGTCGTACGGGTAGGCTTGCCTACTCGACCCTTCCAGCGTTACCTTCGTATTGCACTGCAGCGAAGCATTTAAAAAATATTTTGGTAGGATCGAGCTCGTGCATCTGGATGTGTTTTAAGCAGAGATGCAGAAAAGCAGTTCAATCTCGATTTCCTGCACATCTCCATGAACTCGTCCAGATTCAGGCATTCGATCCGACCCTCTTTGCCAGTGGGACCATGTCCCGGGACGGAGGTGTCATCCCACCCTGCCACCTGCCACCTAAGGAGATTGTCATGGCCTTGCTACCGTCTTCACCCGAATAAAACGCCCGGTAATTATAGCTGCATCTGGACTGGAAGTTCTGCCAAATGCAGCTATATTGACCGGGCGTTCTGTTCGGGTGAAGACGGTAGGAGAATGACGAACTGTCGCTCCATCCCCCCATGACCCGCACAATTAACGAGACTCCGCACACAATCCAAGAGGGGGGGTGCAAGCCATGCTCTCTGACATCCCACTGAGCCCATCCCTTCCCTCCCCCCATCCGCCCATGACACCGCACATCCCAAGAGGGGGTTGCAAGCGAATGCTCTCCGACAATTCACAGAGCAATGCCGTGTTGTATGCCCAGGGGGGCAGCCTCTGCTGTGGCAGCAACAAAAAATGCCTGGCTTGGATTCCACAGTTTTTGAACTGTATCTTGAAACCCCTGTGGGTACACCCATGAACTGTTGAAATACAGACCTGTGTTCGAATCCAGCTGATGGAACTTGACGAGTAAAACCAACTACTAATGAATTGCTTGGGGCCGGTCAGCTCAATGATAATATCTCAAGGCCGTCGCCCTTTTTGAAAAAAAAAAGAAACCCCTGTGCAGCAGGTGGGTTTCAAGCATTGGGCCTCTTGCGTTTGCCCAGTGTACACACTAGCGCGGGCCAGCCTTCGCCGTGCCAGCAACGGGGTCCCACAGTTTGGAGCTGGTATCTTGAAACACCTGCGCAGGTGGGTTGCAAGCATTGGACCTCTTGCGTTGCCTGGTGTACACACTACCTTCGTCCCCCGAATACAACGTACGGTCATTATAGCTGTAGTTAGACTGAAAGATACCCCAATCACAGCGGTAATGACCGGACGTTGTATTCGGGGGAAGACTGTAGTCTGTGTGGTTGACCCCGTGCGACGGGATCCCATAGTTTGGAGTTGTATCTTGAAACCCCTGCACTGGTGGGTTTCCAGCGTTGGACCTCTTGCGTTGCCCGCCGATGTACAGACTAGCCTGTGTCCGTAGAACCCGGCGGGCTGAATGCGCGGGTCCGAAGATTTGAACCTGTGCCCTTATACCAGAATGCGCATTTGACACCGGTGCACCCACTGAGCGAAGTCTTTTACTACGTCGTATCCTTTTCTTTCTTTATTTATTTATTTGAAGGATGCTTTATTACTTGTACAAAACTGGGAAGCGGGCCCCGCGTCCCTTACACGAAGAGCAGCCCGGCTTCCGGGCCGGATTCAGATCCGGATTGCAGGAAATGTTCATCCTAAGCAATCAATCACGCCAGCAATCACCAATCACGCCAGCAATCACCAATCACGCCAATCACCAATCACGCCAATCACCAATCACCCAGCAATAACCTCCGGAAGGTCTCCCAGCTACCGTACTCTTCTACGGTAACCTACAGTAACCCATCCTTTTTTTTCTTTTTTTTTTTTGAAGTAACCCATCGTTTGAAGTAACCCATCCTAGTACAACCAAACAGTTTTTTTTTATAGAAGTAACCCATACTAGTACAACCAAAAAGGTAGCAAACAAAACAAACAGCTATACGACTACAACCAAACAGCCACAAGTAAACAGTCATAGTAGAGAAAGTTAAGAAGAATGCAAAACGAAAACGAGGACAAATGCAGGCGCAAATTCGAAAGCACCTAAGATTCACCATTCTGGTGGACAGAAAGCGAAAGGGTCCGATTTGGTTTGCTAAAACATGTGGACTCGACCACAAATTAGCTACTTTAGATTAAAAAAAAACAAAAACACGAGGAACAGAATGTCACAAAAAATAAGATGAAAAGGACAAGTCCCGTACAGACCGCTGTTGCACAGAAACCTTGACCAGATTCGGAAACTGCATCCAATTAGAAAGGAAGCCCAGATTCATGATTGGTTTAGTCGGGGTGAACAAAGGGTAGTCTTTGTTCACAGCTTTTTTTTTTCACCACTTTGTGTGTCCAGTCTGTACCAATAGCCAGCTTGATATTGTATTTCACCTTTGCTCTCTCTCTCTCTCTCTCTCTTTTTTTTTTTTTTTGTTTGGACGTCCGCTCTTATCATTGGGGGTGTGCAAGTCTTTCTCCCCTTCTGAGTGCGGAGTTTCTGAGAGTCCAAAGAGTCTCAAAGCATGGCGTCACAATAAGACTTCATGCATTTACGGCCGCTCTGCACCTGATTGCAGTCCGATGCATTTCGGTCTGTACGTAATTGGAGCCAGATACACGAAGGGAACTTTTAGTGCGAGTATGCCTCTTGTCTGAACTTTCCTGAACAGCTTCTAATTAACCTTTTTTTTTTTTTTTTTTTTTTTTTTAATCACCACTACCTCGGAGCCTGGTTTTCCGATTTTCCCCGAAGTTTTCGGGGTCCGGCAGAGGGTCGGTGCCCTGTGGCCTAGGGGCCCCTTTTAAGGAGGAGGGGGGAGGGGGGGAAAGCAAGTGCGAAGACAGAAACGACCTCGGGAAGGCCGACCAGGAGGGTTTTTTGTTTTTTTTTTGCAAAACCAACAAGGAAGTTTGCTCACACCAGTACTTCCAGGAACGTACCTGACTTCAATTGGAGTCGGTTTCGTACTCCTTTGTTTTTTTTTTTTTTTTCCCTTCTTTCTTATTTTATTTTGTTGGTAATGCCCTGTCAACGAGGCAGGGCGCAGCGTATGGACTACGGTACTGACATTTTCCACGAAGGGCACACTCTCACATGTACTACTACCGATTCTGTATTCAACTGGGCCGAGGTCACACTAGCAAAGAGGATAGGATCGAACTCCTGAATCTGGATGTGTTTTATGCAGAGATACAGAAAAGCAGTTCAATCTCGATTTCCTGCACAACCCGGTAACGTCGTCCAGATTCAGGCGTTTGATCCGATCCTCTTTGCTAGTGGGACCACGCCCCTGCTTTCGTGTCCATGGGGTTGTTGCTGTTTTTTTTTTTTTTGCGTTTTGGTTTTCGGAACCAAGAGCTTGATAACCGCGTGGCTGTAACGCCCTGGGGCCAAGTCCCACTAGAAGCGTTGAGCTACCTCAACGCCTGAATCTGGACGCTTTTGCGGAGATGTGCAGAAATGGTGTTAAGTTTCCTGAACTGCACGTCTCCACAAAAACGTCCAGATGCAGGCGTTGAGGTAGCTCAACGCTGCTAGTGGGACTTGGCCCCTGACGGAGGGCACACTCTCTCACGTACTCCGGATTCTGTATCCAGCTGCAAAACAGGCCCAAAGGGTTGTTTTTGTTTTTGGTGCAATTTTTTTTTTTTTTTTTTTTTTCGAGTTTTGGTCTAGGCTACCAGCCGGGCCGCCGGGGTCACCCTATTTTCCCGGACGGCCCGGCCGTGCAAGGACCAGGGAAGGTCCTAGCAAAAAAAAAAAAAAAAAGAAACGAAAACAAAGTATGTGATGCACAAAAAAACTGAACAACTTTTGCCTCAGGGTCACATCGAGATTCTTTACCTTCTTTTTTTTTTTTGGCCCGGCCGGGCAAGTGGACCCGGGCCACTCTGATAGCCTAGGTTTTGGTGCTTTTTTTTTTTCCTTTTTTTTTTTTTTTT